ACACCCTCTGCAAACTTTTCTGCCCAGTTCATCCCCTGCCTGCTACCCTCTCTGGTAGTCCCAACTGGTTTGGAGGCATACTTATACTGTTATAAGGATTGTCCATCTCTTCTTCACTGGACTTTAAATTCCTGTAAGGGTACGGAATTACTGATTCTCATTTCCCTAATATGTCACACAGTGTCTGGCACACAATAGTCATCCCCGCCATGTAGTGACACATACCTTGCGGTGGCCATTGCATTAAGATTGGGACCATCTCTTGCTGTTTTAGAAATGAATGAGTAGAACACCCATCTTTTTTCTCTGCTCAGATACTGAAGAAACTTTAAACATTTTAAGCAGATATATTTAAAGAGCATTCTTTTCAAAATCTCAGTGTTACACAAATCACTAACAAAATATGTGTTGGGACCTGAATTGGCTTAGACATGAAAAATATCTTGTTACCTAAATTCATCAGTACTCTTTCTCAAGGAGCAGAACCGATCTGTTTCTCCCCTAGGGCTCAGTTTTTAAGGAGATTCAGGGTCCATTTTGACCACCATGCCATCTAAATGTGGTCTGAGAGACCTTATTACAAACAGTGATGCTATTCCTGGCAATCTGCAAGAATATGACATAGTTGACGTGGAATAGAATCTTTTTGCACTCTGATGTGTTGGCTGGTTTATGGATTAATAATAATAATAATGTCTGTACCCTTTGAAATAAACTGGATAAATTAGAACAAATACAGGAGAGGAATACTGGATTTTTTTTTTTTTTTTTTTTCCGGTACCGGGAACCAAACTCACGACCTTGCGCTTGCCAGGCAAGTGCTTTGTCGCTGAGCTAAACCCCCAGCCCCTAGGAGAGGAATACTGGAGAGGTGGTCCTAGGACGAAGGACGATGCTCCTCAGGTTGGAAATGTGAAACCCCAAAGTGACTTCAGATCTATGTTCAAGATTATAAATGGTTTATCATAAATTATGTAGAATACAACTTGTACTTCATAAAGGAACTGAACAAAGGGCTTAAGTTGTAGCTCTATTAGATAATAATGTTATCAAAAACAGGATGGATGTGTAAAGTCTCATGTCTGCAGTTAACCATGCAATGGCAAACTCCAGATCTCTTACAAGGCTGTAATTGGAACATTTCTGCTCACCTGGCAGCAAGATGCTCTCACCACAGACAAAATGTCCTTAAGCCAGCAGCAGTCAGCCTCTTGAAGGCCTGACTTGTTAACATAAATGTAAAGAGGCACAAGAACAGCATGTACTTATCACAAACTCCTTGAACACATGGGTGGAATGTCACTTACATAATCTGGCAGGTTGCAGTTGTACTATGTGAAGTAAAAGCTGGCTTTCTCAAACCCACAGAAGCTTCTGTGTCCTTTTTTTTTTTTTTTTTAAAGTCTTTCTATTTTATATTGGAGATAGTGCTCACAGCATAAATAATGCCCATCAGTGATCAGTAATTTAGCAGATTGTGCCAGTGTTGACATTTGTTCTTGGCTTAATTGTGTGTGAATGTGTGTTTTAAACAATAATGCAGCTGTCCCTGTTCCTGGCAATTACAATATAAAAACGGTGTTCACTGAATCTGGCATCATGATCATTTGTCCATGTGTTTACTCTTTTGTTGCAAGGCCTTCAGTGTATTGCTGCAGTTCTATAATCAGAATATAAAATTGGCTTAAAGTGGAAACTGGCTCCATAATGGGGGACTTCAGTCCCCACATTTTACAACCTTAGGTCTCTTGACTCTACTGTAGATGCTTGTAAAGTGTGTGTGGGGTGTGTGTGTGTGTGTGTGTGTGTAAGATATTTTGACTTGATGTGAAGAAGTGAGATTTAAAATGCAATGAGGATAGAAGAGCCACTTCAGCAGAGACACACTGGACATTACTGATGACATTGCTGGTCATTTGCAGAGTATCATGTGATCAAAACACATCCTCTACAGAGTGTTGCTGCAAAGTTCCGACTGTGTCTAACATTAGCATCAATCTTATTCCCTGCCAGTTTGAAGAGAGAGAGTAAGTGCCTCCCCTGTGGAGAGTAAGTATCTTTGGGGCTCTTTCTGTCCCTCAACTATTTGGGCTTTGGCTTGGTGGGCTTTTTATTATTGAGTTAGCCACTTAAAGGACAGTGTCACCTGGATTCTTATTAGTCTTGGCAAGTCTGAATATCCCTCTGGAAATCTGGTAGTAGTTGCTAAAGCTGAACATATGTTGCTGTTTGACCCAGCAATTTCACTTCCAAGTGCAGATGGTCAGTAGATAGGTATGCATGTGTTCATCAAAAAACATGCACTGAGAGGTTCACGGTAGCAGCTACCTAGATGTCCATTAACAGTAGGATGGATAAATATGTTGTGCTATAGTCATATAGGGTCATACTATACAGCTCTAACATCAAACAATATTGATATGAAACAAATGACACAGATTTAGCAGCCTAAATACTGCACACTTATGAGCTGTCAGATGTATGGGTCTTAAATCTGGGGCCAGTGGAACTGGCATCTCTTCTGGGGGATCCCAAAGATTGAAATCAAGGTGTGGGCAGCTGGCACTCAGGACCCTCCAAAGCATTCAGGTTGTCAGAGGAATTCAGAGTCTTTTTTGTGATTGGAGGACTGGGGTTCCCATTTCCTTGCTTCCTGTCAGCCAGGAGCCCAGCTCAGCTTTGGGAGCCCTTCAGCATCCTTTGCTAAGTGGTCCCCTCTTACAAGCCAGCAGTGATGAATCCTCTTCTATTTACCCTTCTTGTACTTCAGTTCTCTTTTACTAGAAAGATCCCCTTCCCCCAAGGAAGATCCCATGTAATCAGGATGTGCAAGGCAGTCTTCTGATTTGAATGCCAACTGATTTATGCCTTACACCTGCAAAAGCCTTGCAGAGCAGCATCTGGATCAGTCTTCAGTTCATATACCAGATGAAGGTGTGGGTGCAAGAGGGAGTAAGGAATCTGGGGGGTCATCTTAGAAGTCTCTCCACACAACATTATGACATGAATGACTCTCACAACCAACATTCAGCCAAAGAAGCCAGACATATAGGATATGACATGTATGATTCCATTTATAGAAAATACTGCAACAGGAAGTACAGTGGTCTTTGGCACTAGAAGTCAGAACAGTGGTTACTCCTGAGTATGTAGTAACTGGAAAGGGGCTGGGCTTGCTGGGTGGAAACATTTGCATGTGGTTTGCAGGGCAGAGTCATGTTGTCCAGTGCAAATTGACATGCAGGGGCCCCTGTTCCAAACACTGAAGACAGCGAGAATACAGCATTAAGCCAGTGATGGATGAAGGTGGAGCACAACTGAGCAGGCACTCCCATGAGCAGGACTGTACTCACTGCCTGCATGTGTGCAACAAAGTTGCATCTCAGACTCCAAGGACTTCTTGCAAAGTGAGCTGCTTTAGGCAACTAGTGCTTTGGTCCATACAACTGTCAAGTAGGTTAACCAGCGGCTAGGAGGTGAAAATTCATTAACATATGTGAGAGCAAGTGCTTTTTCATGTGTAAGACACCGAATGAGTGCAGGAGTTATAACAATGGACCTTCCAAATATCTGTTATTCCTTTAATTAGCTAAAAAGCCTACCTGTGACCTACCTGTGATAAATACACAAACGCTTCATAAATAGTGCAAGGTGCAATTCTACCTTATGAATTAACGCAAATTCCAGATTGTTGGTAGAACCCTAATTTTGACAACTTACTAGTACATTCCTTGGTTGTTCCAGTTCAAACAAACTACAGGATTTTTTTTTTTGTTTGTTTGTTTGTTTTTTTGTTTTTCTCCGGTACCCGGAACCGAACTCACGACCTCGCGCTTGCCAGGCAGGCGCTTTTGCCACTGAGCTAAATCCCCAGCCCCTCAAACTACAGGATTGAAGTTATTGGCACCTGGGTACTTCCCACCAAACTTCTTTGTCTTGCTGAGATTTACATTTTGGTCAAGTTCCCTGTAGAATGCCTGGCCTTCCTCTAGAACATAGCCTTAAATCTGGAGGGTCCTGAGAAGGGGCCCCCTAAAATCATCCAACTGAAGCTGCCGCGGGTATCTGACTCACCATGCCAGGAGACTTCGGTGTCAGGATGTCTCCCAAGGTGTAGGGAAGGGGTGGGGGGTGAGGTGGCATTTTTCGGGGCGACGGTTTCCGCAGAGACGGGGCATTCACATTGCATTTCTGTGATTATTTTCTTTGGCATACACTCTGAAGTACTGAGTGCTTCCGAACGTAGTGGCTTACTAAATAAAGCTTTTGGGGACCGTTAGTACCCGAAGACAGCCAGCTGCCTGACCTGGGATTTACGAATAGTTGGAAGGATGAGATAAGGTCCCAGTGTCTCAGTGACAACAGGGTCTTGGACAAACGATTGCAAGCTTTACCGAGGATGGCGGGGTGGGTGCAAGGAGCGGTGCTGAATTTCTGCCCTGTATGAGTTGGAAGCCGGGCGCAGGCAGGCAGCCCACAGGCCATTAGCATTCAGGAACTACAAGCGCTGTCCTTGACGGGCTGCCCGGCTGACCTTGCTGCGCTTTCTCCGGAGAAATCTCCAGGAGCGCGGGAGGACTCGACCGCGGAGCTGACTCAGTGCCCTGCAAGCCGCATGCAATGTTGCTGCTCAGCAAGACCAGCTCCGCAGCCGCGGCTGCCTCTTCTTACCCTCTTTTTCATTCCAAGATTCAAACCTTGCGTTTTCCGCTCCACCCTTCCCCCTCTCCACGGCCCGCGGTGTCGTTAGTCCGACCGTCCGGGTGTTTTGCCCCCGCCCCCCCCAACTCCCATCCGCAGAACTGAAGGCCAACCTTCGCGCTCCCTCGCTGCGGACCGGGGTTAGACGTGGCCCACTCCAGGCAAGCCCGAGCGCTGGGCGCGGACGATCTAGAGCGGAGCAGGAGGGGGCGGTGCGCGCTGGAGCGCACGGGCGGACCCGGCCCGGCCAGCTCCCCATTGGCCGCCACCTCGGCGGGGAGGGGCAGCCCCGGGATCGGGGCACCTGCGGTCCCGCTCCTGGGGAAATCGGCTGCTGCCCCACACGGGCGCTCGGAGGTAAAGACAGCTGCGGGAAGGCCTGAGGGCCGCGGGCGATCTCTTCGTGACCGGCCCTGTCCAGTCGCCCCCGCGGCTTCACAGACGTTCCAATGCCCCTTGCTCCGACTGCGCCAGCCGGAAACTTTGCCCTGCAAAGTCCTCCCCTCGCTTGACCGCACGGTGACTCGCCTGGTCGGCCGCGCGCCCCCTCGGGCCCAGGAATCCCACGCGTGATTGCTGGGCCACTCCGCACCCTGCGTCCGCGGCGCCCCACCGCCAGGATGCGCTACGCAGACCCCTCGGCCAACCGGGATCTGTTGGGGAACCGAACTTTGCTCTTCATCTTCATCTGCGCCTTTGCGTTGGTGACCTTGCTGCAACAGATCCTGTATGGCAGGAACTACATCAAGAGGTAAGAAAGTCCGGGGGAGGGGATGCACGGAGCCCACGGGCGAGTCTCCTGGTGACCGCAGCCGCAGAGTCCCCAGGGACCAGTGGCTGTGGGATCTGCGCTTAGCCCCAAGCCCCTGCGTCAGGCTTGGGTCCTGGTGCTGTGAGTAGCATCTCGCTGTCAGCGGCAGGAGGGCGCCTGCTCATCTTTGGCTGGCGGACCCTGACAACTTTGTTCTGCTCTGAAAAATCGAGAGCAGTTTAGAATTCTAAGTAGCCAAACTGACAAATCTATTTAAATGCCACGAGCTGGCGGCAGGGATCCTGTCCGTGTTCCCCAAACCTATAATTCCGTGGCCATTTGGTTGGAGCCTGAAGGTTCAAAATCGAGTACATTTTTTGTTTTGTTTTTAAACCTAGTGGGTACCACGTTTTTGTGGAGCCCTTAGAAGGGGAACATTTATCTCCACAAGAGCGGCGGGTTGGGTGGGGGTGTAGTGAGCTGTGACGATGCATTGGGGTAGTGAATTCTTACAATCCCATAGCCTCTGGGTCTGTGAACACACAACCTGATCCCTCCCGAAGAAGATGGCTCTTTCTCATCTTTAAAGCCAAAGGTCAGAGCTGCGCAAAAGTTGGATTCTTCCCGACCCCATCCGCAGACAAACTGTGAGAAGAGAAAGGGCAGTCGGAGGTGTCACTCAGAAGGTCCGACACAGCCTCAGTGTCTCTGAAATGCAGTCTACACTGAAATGCCAGCCACCTCCTGAAGCTTTGCTGGCTTGGAGGAAACACTGCAGGTGACTCGAAGCCCTCTGCTAGGCTGGAGGAGGGGTTCTAGGATGCCTGTATACCAGAGCCTTTGGTAAATACAGCACCCCCCCCCACACACACACATATATATACGCTTTGGGGGAGGTTCTTCGCTGCCCTGTCTCCCTACCTGAACCATCTTCCCCATCATTATAAGAAAGAAAATATCTCTCTAGCTGTGTAACCATCTCATTTTCTTCTTGAAACTTCCAAATAATAGAATAGTTGTCCTTTATCCATCCTTTGGGTTCTATTTCAGTTGTATGTTCTCCCAACCTGGCCTGCCCTGGAGGGTGGGAGGCCAGAGTGGGAAAGCTAGGAAACGGAGTTGTTTCCCCTCTTTGTGACACTTCTCAGAGCCAGGAAAGGTGAGTCCCCTTGTCTCATACATTTATTTCTAGCCAGTCACTGCTTTTGACCTTCCCAGAGAGCCTTGTTTCCTGCTTGGTGGCAGCCCATGTGCTGTGTAAGTTGTGAGTGGCTCTAAAAGACATTCTCAGAGTTTCTTGGTTTGTTGGGTCTTGTTGGACCTGCCTTCTCTTTTGGAGACTGTTGTCCTGGACATGATCTTGTGCAAGGACAGAGAGGTCCCAGAGCCAGCCCAACTGCAGCTCTTCAGGCCTATAGGCTGCTGCTGTCTGGCTGATTTTCCCGTTGTGAGGAACATCTGGGCTCCTACCCACTTTTTCGTCTTGGGGTTGCTGGGGCTGCTGGGACTCCTGCCTGGCCAACAGGGGAGGTATCAGTTCCAGGGCAAATGCCAGGTGCCCCACTGCTTCCTGGCTCTCACAAGCTTTACCTGGCCTCAGGTGGAGTGGAGGGACTGGCTGCCTGGAGCCCAGCAGTTGTTCCAGCTGCTGCCCATCCCTCTCTTGGAAACTCTGACCCTTCAAATCACATTGATGCCACCTTAAGGCCTTGTTTTAGAGACTCAGCTTAGTCTGACCAAGTAAGTACAATTTGTATGTGTTGATTATGGAAAAAAGCCCTGGATGTAAAGAGAGAGATAATAATGTAGTTCTAGTGCTCAAGGGGTTTGGAGTCTTTTTAGGAAAACAAAATGGACATAAAGGATGAGAAGTATAAAACTGTCTGAGAAGAGAGACATTGATGGGCTGGAAGGGTGAGGGAAGACTGGAGAAGGTGAAACTTGAGTATGTTTTGAAGGAAGGCAGCCATTTGGATGGAGGAGGGCATGTGAACATACACAACTGGAGGGAGTAGGAACAGAGGTATAGAGGTGCAGGTGTGCAACTAACCTGTCTCATCGCTCTCACACCTGCACAGCTGCACGTGGCTCAGTCCTTGGTTAGTCCATCAGGAAGGCTTCTGCCATCTTGAATCCTGTTGTGGCTGCCACATCACTGCATGCAATTATTTGCTTACCTATCTTGTTTCCTCTGCATAACTTAACTGTAATGAACTAATTCCAAGGGATTTTTGGTCTGTTTCCTATCTGGAAACCTCAGTCCTGTGTTCCTCAAGCAGAGACCACTCATAGAATCACCAAGAGGCCATTGAAACACAGATTTCTGGACCCTGGGTCTCACTGTGGGGTGTAATCTTGTTGGCAGGTCCCCTGATAGCCTGTAATTAGCTCCCCCTGTTGCTCTAGAACAGTGGTTCTCAATTGAGGGCAATTCTGCCTCTAGGCAATGTGCAAAGGCATTTTTGCTTGTCATATGCTACTGGCATCAAATGGGAAGAGGCCAGAAGTGCTCCAAAGGTCCTCCAATGTATAGTCTGCCTCCCCAAAAGAGAATTATTTAGCCCCAAATGTCAGTAGTGCCAAGGTTGAGAAATGAAGCTCTAGACAAGAAGGTCTGATGTGGCTGGCATGTAATAAGTACCAATAAATCCAGAAAATAAAAAATGATTGATGGTGGGGGTGGGTATGTGTTTGCATTGTGTGTGTATGCAGGGGCTCTCACACATAATGCAGAGACATAGGGAAAGGTGGTTTGAATGATGTGAGTGAAGAAAGGGGCAGCTCTAACAATGGTCAGTACCTCTGGTGAAGTGCTCCAAAGATTGAAAACAATTTATTTCATTAGGCTATAGGGAGACATAAATGGTCCTTGAGCAGAGTGCTGACATGATAAAAGCCATTAGGAAGGAGGATATCTGGGTCTTGTCATGAAGGGACAAAAGGGAGAGAGGCTGGAGGTATTATCATCACCCTATAAAAAGTGAGGAGACGTTGTTGTAAGGAGTGGATCCACTTTAGAGCCAAGGGATTCCTGAAGACTGAAGTGATGCCACCTTACACAAACCCCAGGGACAAAGGGTTTTCCAGTGAGAGCTTAGGAACAGATTCTGTAGAAGGCAGTGGGAGATGTGAGGCATGTACATCTATTTCTTTGGGCCCTTGACTGCTCACTGAGCTGTGCAATGGGTACTTCTGAGAAGATCCATGATGATCAGTCAGAACTTTGGGGATCCAGTTTGGCCAGGGGGGGAGAAAGTAGGTGGTGCTGATGGCTTAGTGCTCTTGGAGTCTCTTCTGGAGGGTGCATACACTATGTGGATTAGGAGGAAAATACATGGAACAAAACTTTGAAGTTTGCCCTCGATGCTCTTGACTTCCATGTCTGTGCTTGATTGAACAAATGAAGATTTACTATGTACTGAGCACCAGCCTAGATGCTGAGGGTGCAGTGTATGCAGGATAGACAGAGGCCAGGTCCAGGGGAGCTCATGGGCTGTTGGAAAGACAGAAAGACACATGACTCCAAAGGGAGGCACACCTGGAGGGATGGATAAGGAACTTTAAGGTTAGGAATGAGAGAGCCACAGTAAATCAATGTGCTCTAGGGTGCCTGGAAGCATTTGAGAAAGGTCTCAAGAAGAATGATCCACAGGCACAGATGTAGGTGGTAAGAAAGAAGGGTTGAAACTCAGTTTGAGCAAACAGTGAGGATGCTGGGGGAGCTGAGTATTCTGCCTCATGCATTAGAGCTATAATGTTGAAGTGGGTGAAGCACACAGGACCAGAATGTGGCAGAAGGAGCAGTCAGGACAGGGACCCCAAGCCTAATTATGGATGTGCTGAGACAGTGGAAGGCCACTGTGTGGAGCTATCGAGCACCTCTTCAGAATGAGCTCAGGGACGTAGGTAGGAAACATCCAGGCTAGTAATGTGGACTTTGGGGTCACTATCCATCAAAGTCAGTGTTTTGGGAATTCTTATGGTTTTAATGCACAGTAAGAAATATATTTGGGAAACTCCACCAAAAGACTTCTAGATTTATTAACAAAATGCAGTAGCATAGCTGCCTATATAGTCAGCACTCAAAAATCAATAGCATTCCTGTACACAAATAACAAACTCACTGAGAAGAAAATTAGGGAAATGTCTTAGTTACTTTTCTCACTGATGAGACAAAATACCAGATGCCCAATGTTAAGGGAGGAAAGGTTTATTTACTTCACAGTTTGTAGAGGTTTCAGTCCAAAATCAGCTGGCTCAAAGGCAGGGTGGCTTGGCAGGGGAGAACTGTTCATGGCAGGCAGAATATAGCAAAGCAACAAGGAACCTTAACAGCACTTTTCTTCCCCTTTTATCTTATTCAGATTACTTGGGGTGAGTAGTACTCACATCCTTAATCCTAGTGCCCTTGAGCCTAGCATTGCACCATTAATCAGTTCCAGCATCACAACCTTTAAATCCAGCCACCTCTGAAGGAGCCCCACCTATGACTGCATGAGGCTTTCAGGGGAAATCTAGACACAAGCCGTAACAGTAAATCACACCTTTCACAATAGCATAAAAAAGAGAAATACTTAGGAAACAATCTAATGAAAGAAGTAAAAGACCTTTATATTGAACATTATAGTACTCTGAAAAAGGAGATTGAAGAGTGGAAAGATATCCCTTGTCCTTGGGTAGGAAGGATTGATATAGTAAGGTATCCATACTTCTAAAGGTGTTAGATTTAATGCAATCCCAATAAAAATTCCAATAACATACCTCACAGAATTAGAGAAAACAAACCTAAAATTCATTTGGAACCAGAAGAGACCTAGAATAGCAAAAGCAATTCTGGGCAACAAAGGTAAGGCAGGGACATATCACAATCCCTGACTTGAAATTATACTACAAAGCTACTGTGACGAAAACAGCATGGTACTGGCAAAAGAAAGAAAAGAAAAAGAAAGAAAGAAAAAGAAAGAAAGAAGAAAAAAGATCTGAGAATCAAAAGAACAGAT